AATACAGACACCTAAGAAAGCCGGATATATGCTTGAAGAATAACAATCAATTAAAACACAGCTGATGTGATATGAAAGGTAAAGTGTTTCTGTTCATGGAGAAAATGTCTTTAGAAAGTAACTACTGTACAGGGGACAGTTATTTCTAAAGAGCATTGGTATACTGTAGCACACAGAGTAAAAATCCCCAGGGAAGTTGCAATTTTGTTGCCAAGAATACACCACCAGAAAGCCCAACTCCCCAAACTAACTGGAAACATTTGGTTTTTATCTCTCCAGAGGTGCACAAGTAAGGAGCCCGCATAAAAGCTGAAGAAACTGGTGTTAATAGCTTATATTATGGGTAAGGACCACAAACACGGCAACTGGCTTTACCTAAAGATGACAATAACACTTCCAGGCTTTTCCGCCCACTCTGTACTGGAAAACGTTTAAGCCACTCCAGGTAACATTTGCCCTCAATACAAACCATCTTATTTGGAAAAAGGAGAGACAGTGAGTCACCATAAACCATCACACTTAAGACTGTTTATATCCTATGCAACTGCTCATGTAACACTCACAACTTCTTATGGCACTTAAGGTGGCCACGGGAGTGGCTCAGGATGTAGGATCAGGCCATCATTTGAGTAATTAATGAGACAAATCAGGAGTATTATAGCTAATTATCACATTCCAATCTGCTTTTATATGTCAAGATTGGCGTTCCGTTTACAGGAATGACAGCAGTTCACTTGTCTTTTAAAAATAACAACCAGCTGCTTGCAGACTCTGGATGTCATCAGACATACCTCTGAAAGACTGTCATCATGGCTTGGCGTTTTACAGATTCTATTAAAATTCAGAGAAATTGTAAATACTCCATCTCCTATAAAATGCATTTATTGCTCAAATAGGCTAGCCCTCAGTGCAAAAAAAATTCCTATGTTTGCCTACTTTATCTTGCAGGAATAACACTGTTCTGTCAAAAGCAGCTTCACCAGTCCCTGCAGCATCCCCCTGGGAGGTTCAGCACTAGAATATAACATCAGGAGACAAAATCTACCCATACAATTAAAGGGTTCCTACCCAAGTAACAGACAAATTGCACACTGACAGCAAAGCTTGGGGAAGAGGCAGCAGGAAGTTGCCTTCGAAAGTTTCAACTGTTCTTAGCTTTGTCTTGTCCTTCTACCCACTCAAAAAAGGAGAGTTTGTTTTTAATGAACATAAGCAGTGCTCCTTAAAAAAATCAATTAGCTTCCCAGAGTTTGAGTCCTGCAGTACCTTTTCAGGTGTGTCCGGTCCCCACTGTCAGAGCTCGCTACAGAAGATGTGTCATAGGAATGTGTATCTGTGTTATCAATGTTCAAGAGAAAGGGATCCTCCAAAATGAAAGACTCTTCCTCATCATCAGTCTGAAGGAAGAGAATCACCACAACTTACTAAACATTCAAAATGCACTACACCTTAACCAAAACATTAGCAAAACAGCATCAGTTATTCAGAAAAATCAAGGAGGAGAGGACAAGACAGTCTCATATGTGAAGAACAGAACTATGTATTATTGTACTAGACTGATTTTGTGTAAGAACCAGTTTCCAGAATTCACAATAATCACAAAAGTGGGCTGGAGAGAAAGTTATTCAGCTGAGCTTTGTTCCACAGATTATTATCTACTCCATCAAATCTTTAACAGACATTTAACTAAGCTGTTCTCAAAAGTCTCCAACTGCCGAGAAGGCCTAGAATTATTATCTACTCCAGCACTTCACCAAGTGGTGGCTAGGAGTCTAGCAGTCCCTGACTTAGCTCTTCTCTGTGCTCTTCTGCTGGCAATCTCTCGCTCTCCGTCCTCTCTCAGGTTTAGCCTTATAGCTGGCAGTCCTGTGCCCATGAAGTGTCTCTTTTTCCAACGCAGCTGCACACCTTTTTGGCTCAGTCAGGTTGTTTTCCACTAAAATCCTTTTCAGAAGATCCTTTACCAGTCATTCCCATCCCATATGTACTGAGATAAATAGCACTGGAGAAAGACTCTGTATTTGTCCACACTGAACTACACTTTCTTCATAATTACCTCTTCAGACTTGGGTTCTACACCTCTGACATGGATGTGACTGCATCTCCTTACAGTTTGGTATCACCTGAATTCAATAAGTTGCCTCTGCCTTCATCACCCAAGGCATCAGCAGAAACAGGGCATACCTCTGTACACTATACCTTCCACTATTCCTCTCGTTCTTAGGCTGTGTGTGTTTGGGACGTCTTATACCTGTATCTTTAATACAGCTTTCTAAAAGAACTGTCACCTCTCCCAGGGTCCTTTCATACTGGCTCGCTAGGAAGTCCAGTCACCAATTCCCTCAGTTTGTTAAGAAGCTTGTTTTCTTAGAGGTTATCGTTATTTTCATGCCCTTCTTTTCATTTCTAAGAATCGTGCACTCATGTGGCTATTGTAAAACATGCACCGAATTGGATATAAGCAAGACAAAATCAGTTCTCCCCTGCAAGGTACTATGGGCAACATCAGATGATGAGACATTTCATTACTACTGCCAGAGAGCTAAATACATGAAAAATACAATATAAATGGAGCTGTGAAAAATCTAGTTTTCATCTCATCTCACAGCTTAAAAACTACCCAGAATTTTCCACATTTATTTTTAGTTAATAAAAAAAAACAAAACAAAACAAAACAAAATTTGGCTGATGACCCTGATTTTCAACTGAGCATGTGCTTCGTCAGCTATCAGTATCAGGAACTTATGAAGACATACAATTTCATTTCCCAAGAAAAACACAGTATGAGAAGAGCCATATGCTGCTGCTTGATATTAGTTCCTCCCCATATTGGAGCTGGTTTCACGTTTGATGGACCACTCACCTCATTTAAGATGCTCTCCAGTGTTGGAGGGGTATCAACTTGAGGAATGTCAAATTCTTTGTCATCAATCTGTACATCAGAAACCATACACTGAGTTTAGGTTGCCTACTCTACCTTCCAAACTTTTTTCTAACTAAAGGAAAAAAAAAAAAATCAGCTATGCATACCCTCCTTCCAACATACCTTTGCCCAGAAAGGCACTGTATATACTACAATTTCTCATATTAAAAACGCATTCTCTGAAGTTTGGCATTGCAAGACAAAACAATAAGTACTTACTATCAAAAATATGAAATAAGTTATCTGATCTGTGCTCACGTCTGAGATTTCAAATACTTTTTTTTTTTATTATTTGTAAAGATCACTACCGATGTTACCCTGACTTTCTAATACAGATAGACATCAATACACGAGTTTGTTTTTTTTTTTTCCCCCGACTACTTTATAACGGGGAAAACACTGTTTTCCTAAGAATTAGGATACTTTTATCCTAGACTTGCACGACGGAAGATCAAGCTTTGCTACAGCAGGAGGGCTGACCCCACCCCGGCACTGCTGTCCTGCTCGCCCAGTGCCGGCCCCACGCACGCCTCCTCGCCGCCCCTTCCCGCGGGGAAAGCTGAGAACACGGCCGAGGTCTGACACCGCGGCTCCCAGGCCGCAGGGTTATTTTAAACGCCTGATTATCTGCTGCCCTGGCAGCTGGGCGGCACAGGCGTGCCTGTTGCCCGCATTTTGCCCCCGAGCCCGAACCGCCTGCGTGCGAGGAGTTCTGAGGGGAGAATTGAAGTCGGAGCAAGTTTCCCCCCTCGGAGCAGCTCTCAGCGTAAGGCAGCGCACCGGCGGGACAACCGCCGCCGGCCGGGCTCCGTCCCGCTGTCCCCCCGTCCCTCCCGGCTGCCTGAGGGGGCTCGCGCCGCCCGCCAACGGCGCTGAGGGGAGCGGAGCGGCGCGGCCCGGCCCGCCCGGGGCCTCTTCCCCCTGAGGGAGGGGGCCGCGCCCCGGGACGCACCAGCTCGCTGCGAGAGTCCAGCTCACGGTCGAGCTCCGCCGCGCTCAGCCGGTGCGCGGGCGGCTCCGGGCACGGCTCGGCTTCTTGCTCCAGCACCGCCTCCATGGCCGGGACTGCGGGGCGCCGCGGCGGGCACCGCACCAGGCCGGCACCGCCGGGACTCGAACCCTTGGCCGGAGACGCCCCGTTCCCCGCGCAGGCGCAGCCCTGCACCGCCGGGACTCGAACCCTCGGCTGGCACCTCCCCTCCGCTGCGCGCAGGCGCAACCCGCCCCGCCCCGGTACCGGCCTTAAAGGGGCCGCGGCACCCCGCGCCGCCGGCAGGGACAGAGGGACAGAGGCAGCACGAAATCCTTTTATTTATTGGGAAATCCCGCCTCTGATCCGCGACGACGGCTAGGAAACCGGGCCCAGGCCCGACGGGTGCGTTAGTCTCCGAGGGAAGGAAAATAAAAAAAATCATTAAGAGGAAAAGAAATGAGACTTCCAGACCCATGGTGCCTCAGCTAAAGCCAAGTATGTTTTGTTACAATTCCCAGCATTTTAGGGCCCAGGATTTGATGTGCACGACACGAGGCTGCAGCTGCATCTCAGCACTGCCAAAAAAAAAGTGTTTAACTGTAGAAGGTTAGAAATTGGGTGAGAGACAAAAGCCTTTGAGAATACATGGCTAAATTTAGACAAGGCAAGAGCTGGTATGGCAAGATTAGGTGGGCCATGCATTTGTGTTTTATTTTAAAAGCCATCTGGAAAAGTTAAGCAGCAGCTGCAGTGAGTTCATTACTTCAGTTTTTTAAGATAGAAGCAAGCCCTGTGGGATGTCCAAGAGCCCTCACCAAACAAGGAGAGGGGTCAGCACTGACAAATGTAAAATAAAACATCCATTGGAAGGATAAATTTTTAACAGTTGAGTGATGTCAGACACCTAAGCTGCACTGGTCTCTTACTTGTGTCTACATACACTGTTTTGGGGTGACACTATCCTGGGTACTGACCTGTCAGAGGATGAGGGAAGAGCCCACCTGGTGCCCATTCAGAGGAATGGCCCCTCTGGCATCAGAGTAGCAGCTGAATTGTTGTTTAGGGTCCCAGCTTTAGCAAAAGCACATTCTAAGGGCACAAAGATCATGCTTCAGCCATGCCTGCATTACCTATTGGGCCTTCCTGTTCTTCCCGAAGAGCAGCCGTGTCTCCCTCCTCTTTGGAGAAGGCTCTGTCTTGTACCTAGCAACAAAAGCACGTGGATGAGCAAGGAACACCCTGAGTGTCCTCTTCCCCTCCCGATGAGCATCGGCCAGGCAGGTCCCTACTTTCTACCTCCACCTGAGCAGGAACCAGTGCCCCTGCTGTCCTCGGGGCCAGTCTCAGCTCAGCAGTGAGAGCAGGATCTACCTGTCCAGGGTCACCTTCTGAGCTCTGAGTCAGTTGACTAGCAAAAACTGAGGAAGAATAATTCATAGAAACAGGCCAGCCAGTGGCTGCGAGCTTACAGTTACCAACACACCATCATCTGTGCTTTGAAGATGCCTTAAGACTAGCAGGATACAGACTGGAAAGTCATTGTTCTTCCTCCGAAAGTTCAGAAGTCGGCCCCCATGACTGGCACAGCAGATGAGCTGGGCTGGGGAGGGGTAGGCCTGGGGCTGTCCCTGGTTTCAGCTCCAAGGACTGCCCAGCTGCTCTAAGGAGACACCCGCTACTGGCAGCACCCAGGCTCAGAATATGGAACAAAAACAGGGTCATGACACCTAAGATGACTAAGGTCTCCAGGCTGACAGAAGATTTAATAGCATTCTAAAGAAGTCATCAGTGACATGAAGAAGGTGACTAGGGAATAAGAGTCACTTTGGTATATGAGAACTGGGGAGGAATTAGTTGATACTATCGCATAGTAAGTCCAGAACAAAGGGCAGCACTTTTTGGGTGATGCCGTCGCCAGCAGCAGGATGCTGGTGCTGGCTCTAGGCTCTGACACCAGAGCTCACTGCTGGAAGGAGGAGAACATTTGTGGTGCAACAGCCCAGGGATTTACAGCAGGCACTACAGGTTGCACAACTACTGTACTATAGGGCTGCTGAAAGGAAGGTGATTGATCACACAAGTGATATCCAGAGTACAGGCAGCAGGTCCCTGGAGCTGTAGAGGTTGAGCAGAGCTCTGGAAGAGGCTCCAGGTAGAAATCCACAGAACCAGTCACACTGACAAACAAAAACTACGAAGATTGCAACGAACCATCTTCCACCACAGCCTGAAAAATGCCATCACAGAGACCTGCTAGAGCTCTCGGAATTAGAAGCTGATTAGGGCGGCAGCTTTAAGGAATAAAATACATACTTAGTGTAGGTGAACAGCTCAAGAGATGTCACAGAGTTTCATCTGGCAGAGATGGATAATATGTACTACTTTTCCACTCATCAAGAGGACAGAGGTTTTGAAAAACACAACCACCCTTCCCAGCCTCCTCCATCTAGGTAGGCTCCCCAGGCTTGTGGACAGTCAAGCAGCATGCTAACCAGATTTCAGAGTCAGTCCCGACAAAAGAACAGGATTTTGGTGAGGAAGTAACTCTGCTTTGGAGCTATGCTGGCACTGGGGAGCTGCACCTTTCCTCTGGCACGAACATCTACAGGTATTTAAAGATTCAGTGACTGATTACCATCACACGCTGTCCTCCATGTTCTAAAACCTTCCTTTCCACTGCCAGCTGTTCCAGGATGGTCTTCTGCAGCAATGGTGCATTCGCTCCCCTTACAACAGCTACTAATTCTCCTCTCTGAAAAGTGTGAAAAGCAAAAGCAGTCAGTAAGTGTTCAAGAGGTACCCTCTGGCCTCTAGAAATCACCACAGCAGCACATGACATATGATATTATATACCAGGCCCCCCTCCCTGACAGAGCTGCTCTGCTCCAGAACAAGAGAGAAACTTTGGAACAAACTTCTCATTCCTGATCAGTTTTAGGATGAACCAAAGCAGCTTGTGGAGAGGAGTGAGGTCCTGCAGTAGCAGGAGGCTGCCTTAAGACCCCTCAGGGCAACACACATCCCCATGCTAACGTGGCATGAACGCTGCTCACGTGGACTCAGCCAGCCACAAGACTCTGCAGACAAATACATTTTTCAATAAGTCACAGGGATTCCTGATGTCAATAATAGGGATTTTCATGACTAAGATATTCGCACATGGAAGGGGAGAGGGCCACAAAATACAGCCATCCATCAAAGGCTACAGGGGCCTTCCCCCAGGTAAAAAAAAAATAAAATAATCTTGACAGTCTCTAGCTAGAGGAGTTCCTGTAACTTTATGCAATGTCTGCCTTTCACTCACCTGGACAATTTTTACTGTGAATATTTTACTTCATTCACACCTTAAACTTTCCTTTTTTTAATTAATAAATCAAAATTACATTGTTCTGTTTCTTAGTGGCAAAACAGAAGATATTTAAATTTAAACTTTGGCTGTATATTCTTATCCATGCAGCACTTGATCACCACTAGATACAGGCAGATAGAGAGTAAATAAAATTGTGCTGTCACACATGAAAGAAAAATAGCTCTCAAAAAGGACAGCTGTTCCCACTGGCAAGTGATGTTTATTGCTATTCAGCTATTGTAACAATATTTTCACTCACTGCATAAAACAGAAAGACAGGCTTGCATTTTCCTCTGTATTTTTCCAGAGCATCAATGGAATCAACTTCAGCCTAAAAGGAATGTAGAACAAAAACAGGTGGTTCTAGAACACCAATTCTGCTTCAGAGGAATACACATGAAACTGCTGGATCACAGACATCCTCAGCTGGCTGGTGCTCATCCCCCACCTCCGGGTCCCAGTGGCACAGGCTGAAATGGCACTGGGCAGAGCTGGGGCCACACCTGACTCCCAGCTCAGCACTGGGACCTGAGCAGCGGGCAGATGTTTGGCAGATCGCACCCGCAAGGGCTGGAACTGCCAGCTCCTGTGGGGCACGGACCTCTACTTCACAGCAGCCTGCCTGAGTGAAGCCCAGATTAAAAAAAAAAAAAAAAAAAAAAAAAAGAACAAAATTACATCAGGGTCTCTTGTCTATGAGGAGCTGTGTCAGCAGCAGCAGCAGCAGGCGGCTGTAAGGAGTGCTGAGCAGGGGCCCCCACGAGAAACCCCACTGCCCACAGCTCTGCCGGCAATCGAGAGCCGGCCTTCCGCCAGGAACGGCATTTCAGTGCAGAATCGCAGCAAGACTGAGGTAGGGAAGGACTTCTGTAGGGCTCTAGTCTAGTCCCAGTGTTACAGGAGGTTGCTCAAAGCTGCGTTAGCTTTTAGTGTCTCCAAGAATTGGTGCTCCACAGCCCCTCTGGAAATTTGTCCCATTGTCTGACCACTCCTACACCAAATACCTTTTCCTTCTATCTACTTGGATTTTTCCCCGATGCAACTTGATCCTGTTGTCGGTCGTTCTTTTGCTGTGTACCACTGAAAAAAGCCTGTCTCTGCCTTCTCTATTAATCCCCCACTAGACAGCTGTCTCTTAGCCTTCTCCAGGGTGAACAAACACAGCTCCTTCAGACTCTCCCTGTACATCAGAGGGACACATGTTAATTATTCTGTCTAGTGTTACTTGCTTAAGTAGAAATCTGAAAAGTACAGAATAGTTGAAGCCTGATATTTCCAAATTATGTGAGTTCTTATTGATATAACCAAGTGGCTGTATTTGGCAGGCTCACTCACACAAGCTGGAACCCCTGGACTGTTACCATCGTGCCTGAATATTGGAAAGATAAATGACTTCTGCATTTAGCTACATGCTAGTTTCAGGGGACTGGATACTTTAAGCAGTGTCAAATTAGCTCTTACCACAGCAAAATGCAGGAGATGACTGCCAACTTCATTCCTTATTTTTCGGAAAAGATTTACTACTGTTTTGCATGGACCACACCAGGTTTGAAACACATCAACAACTGCAAGCAGGAAAATTAGTAAGAATGAGGTCAAAATGAGTCAGAGTATACCAGTTGGTTTGTGCACTTCTCCACTTTGCAGCATAATCATTTCGAAGGGAACTGCAAAAGGGTATTAGCACAATAAGAAGAATCTTGAAAACCTCTGAGGATTGATATCTCCTCTGGTGACCTCTGCAGCACCACCCTGGGGAAGGAGACTTGCCTCATGCCCAACAAGAACTGTTCAAGCTGCAGCCTGGGGCTGTTGCTTCCACAGCTCTCTCTGGCGTGTGGCAGGACTCCTGTTGAGCACTAGAAGGGCAATGGATTATTCAGTTCTGAAGTAGAAACTGTTATACATTTTCAAGGTTTCAAATACTAGATCAGAGGATGAAATCACATTATAAAATAACAAGCTCATGACAAAGATATGGAGGAGTCTTTAGAAGAAAGATTAACATGGCTGTGACCTTGGAGGTACCACATTTTCTAGGGGAAACTGCTGCACAGAGGTCGAGCACCCCACAGCCCTCTAGCCTCCACCCTTGGGAAGCAGGGCTGTTCCTTGCACTGGGGACAGTCCTGCTCCAAGTGGGTGGCTGGACTGGAGCCTTCAGAAGCTCCTGCACCAGCACTGCTTTGATCGCATGACAGCTGTCCCACATAAGTGAAGACAACTACATCCTCCAGCTAGTCTCACCTCTGCTAGCGCATTTCTTCCTTTCAGGACAAGAAGAACAGAGAGACTGACTGAACATCCGTATCAGTAGTAAACTGATTCCTAACAGTACTAGTGTCCTTTTAACACAGAACAAAAGCAATCCAGTACGTTGACAAAACCCTTACCAATGAGTCCTTTCAGACACAGCATTTCTTCCCAGAGCTCCTGGCTATTGATGTTAATCTGTGTGAAAATTTAAAAATACAATAAAAGCAACAGTAAATCATCAGGTACTACCTGGTTACTGCAAACACACTGACAAATCACTTCATTCTTGTGCTCAAGATGGACACATCTACCTAAAGAGGCATTACCTCAGCACTCAGGAAACTCTTTTGACTGTGATCCTCTCACCTCTGACCAGCTGGGCAGGGCCAAGCTGTGCTAGAACACAGGTGGAAGAACTCTGAGAAAAACCAGCTGAAGTCAGATGTCCTCACTCCCAAACTGATCCCTTTCCCCCTTCACATGTGCTCTTTCTGCTACATGACCCCAGCTCTGAGAGACCCATCGGCAAGCCAGATAATTCTGTAGAAAAGCATAATGGATTAGAGGCTCACATTGTCTCACAAGGGCCGAGGAAAGGCAGATGCAACGGGTAGGTGTCCAGCCAAGAGCAAGCCCTCCCCTGTTTAGGGGCAGCAACTACTTGAACAGTCTGGCTGCTTGGGGACCCCCGGCTCAGTTCACAGAAAGAATAAGAGTTGTTCTGGGGGGTGACTGGGGACACAGCCCCCTGCACCTTATCAGGGCTGGCTGAACCTGCCAGGCTGTGGTGCGTGGTGCAAGAGGGAAGGTCTGTGAAATACCTGCACAACCTCAGGTTCTTCCTGGCGCTCTCCTGCTTTTATGGCAGCACAACCCCTCGTGGGGCCACGCAGCAGGATCAGAGAGCAGGGAAGGGCTCCAGATGTTCCTCCTGTGTCTTGGCTTACCATACAGCCCTGCAGATGTGCGGGTACCAGGAAGAGTAGCAGGCAGTGGGGATGAGGGACCCTGAGCTATAGAAGAAACATGAAGAGCTATTTTGCTTTCACTTAAATGGAAAGCCAATCTGTAATGATGTTTTAACACAGGCTAGCAGCTAAACCAGTTAAGAGCCAGGGGCAGTTAACTGCCTGGACTGGTCCTCTGCAGGCTGCCTGGATCACAGCACAAGCAGCACAGACTTGGAGGAAAGCCTCACAGACACACACCCTCTAGGTCCGCGAGCAGCCAGGACCTCCCGTCAGGGCCAGCACGGTGCTCAAAGGCGGCACTGAGCTGAGGTCTGGGCTGACCTGCAGCATTCAGAGACCTGCTTCAACATGCTCGTCTCCAGCACATCCCCCTTTCCTCTCACCTATTTGAGAGCCAGTCCTCATTGCATTTTATAAGCCAGATGATTCTCCACCAGCAGTTTTTCACCTTGCCTGCACACATGCTGTATTACTTGAAGATGTTTCAGTCTTGATAAAATAAATGATTAAATACACAACTTTCATGATGTCTGGGCACTAGAGGGTGGGGTCTGAACCCAGCACGTCCTTACCTGAACTACTGGCTGCTATCTAAAGACTTCCAAAACACAGTGAACAACAGAGAGCATAGAAAGATCTTAGTTGGAAGGGATCTGTGGAGTTCTTAGTCTAAGCCCCTGCTCAAAGCTCAGCGTTAGATCAGGTTGCTCAGGAACTTACAGTCAAGCATGCTCTATACAGTTCCATTCATTGTACCATGTACTGTATTATCCCACACTTCCAATATCATTATTAGAAAGGAAAACATCTTTAGCACCTTCCCCATCTTACAGGACTTGCCCCCCAGAGTGTACTTAGAAAAACACAGTAAGTTAAAAAAAAAAACAACTCTTTAGAAAGACAAGAGCTGCTTTTGTTCGTCCTGAATAATGAAGACTCCCAATAACTTTATCAGTTGGTATCATTAATCCTAATTACATTTAGTCTACACTGGAAGACAGTAAGTTACAATAAGGCCAGGTATTTTACAATAATTAACACCAACATGCATTAAAGGACTGCTAAAATTGCAAAGTCAAGAATTCTAAGAGTGAAAACTCCAGTACAGATTAAATGGCCTCTTGCAGATTTTCAGAGATGTCACTGGAGGTGCCACAGTAGTTTCTCCAGGACGCTGCCTCAGAGAATGGGGAGCTGTTCAAACACCTCTGTTGGTTCTGTTTAGCACATGACCCCAAGCCTAATTTTTTCAGAGAACACCTGCAGAATTAAGCAATTTAATTAGTCCAGTTATCACTAGCGCTAGGACCACCCTCAAGTGTTTCACAGAATGTTAATAAGTTCAAATGATTTACCACAGTAATTTGAAATAATGAGTTCTGCCATGAGTTCAACTGGTGAAGTCAGAAAGTAACACCTGCAACCCTCCAAGTGCTTTGCTAATTTGGATGCTCTGAGGCTGCAAGGATTTGGTGTTTCTCTAATATAACCAGAACTTTTCTAGGACATCACATCATGTCCTACATGAGATTCAGCTTTCATCTGCAGATGTAAACAATCACATTTTTGCAAATCTAGACCCAGTTTTCCCTTAGTTAGCAAAGGTGCAAAGTTTGGTTGATGTAATCTTCCCCATTGCACAGGAACACAGTTGGACAAGCAGCAGCAGAAACCATTTTTACCTTAATAAAGTGATCCTCTTCCTCTTATACAAATGTTCACATTTTCACTCCATGCTTTCTAATTTTAACAGTGAGTAAACAAGGTTATAGAGCCCACAATCTCCCTGGTATCTCTCTCTGGTAAAGACTGAACTTGTTTAAAAATTTGGAGACCTTCGTAACTTAGTGTTTTTCAATATTTTTGCATACTAAACCACTCACTGAAACCCTCTCTCCCCTATGCAAGTAGTTATAAAACATCATTAGGTCACTCGTGCAATGCAGGCAGGGAAAAATTCCTCTACACATTGTGAAATAGGTTTTTCCACATTTGAATTTTTTTTGTACCTCTTCACTTTTCCACCTTTACAACGATCTTTCTAAATAAATGAGCTGGTCAGAAATGTTCAGCAACACTGCCATTCAGGAGAAACATCACCCACCCCCTCTCTTCTAACTGTCCTCTGAAAAACTGTCTCATGAAACATAGATGCATTCTGATCGAGGAAAGCAGGCAAACCTGTGTCAGTTTGTAACAGCTCTGAAATGCAACCTGCAGCCCCATAGCACTGACTTTAGGGGACAGGATTGACTTGCCATGTTTTCCCATGCTTCCTACCTGCCTTCAGGAACACTTTTTCACCCCAAGAACCTCACAGTAGAGCTTTGCCAGCAGAATCTGAAATACTCCAAGACTGAACTTCATCCTTTGCACTGTAAGTTTAAGAGATATTGTTAAAGCCTGGCTCCTACTGACCTGCAGTACTACCTCCTTTTTCTTTGCAGCCATCCTTCTGCAGGAACAAGGGTCCTTTGAGCAGCAGTCCCAAGCGCAAAGCACCGCAGATGTCCTCTTAATTCTGTGAATCCAACTGCTGGCCAACCTGTCCCTCCTCCTCCACCTGGGACGCTGCCTACAGCAGCACCCCTGCCCTGTTGCAAGGAGCGGGATCAGCTCAGCAATGCCCAGAGCCCGGACACAGCTCTGCTTTGCACCTTTTGCATAGAAGCAAGGTCCGCTGCAGGGCCCAAATTGCTGCTCGCTTTTGGAGGCCTGTCCCCCCTTGCCCTGTGAGGGTAGCAGAAGTGGCCCCAGCCAGGCCCTGGCAGTACCTGCGTGGTGGCTGGCAGCATCCCAATGCTGCTGTGGCAGCCCTGGCAACGCTGGGGCGGAGCGGCAGCCCAGCCCGCCCTGCTCCCTTCTCAGTGTCGCTGCAGCCAGGAAGTTCAGTTCAATCTCCTGTAATTCCCCTTCAAGCAGCAGCAGCTTCAGTTGGAGCCCCTCTGCCTCCTCTTCGCCTGTCAAACCTGCCCCACGCTCCCCACCACTCCACTTTCCCCCCCTCCCTCCCAAGCTACAGGCCCAAAACAAGGCACATGGTCCAGACATGACCTCCCCACCACGGTGCAGAGGGGATAAAGCTGCTGGCCCCAATCCAAAATGCGGCCCAATTTTTGAAGGTTGGCTGAGGCTTTTTTCTTACTTGCAGTGAGCACACGGCGCCTGGGCCCTGCACACCCCCGGGGCGATGCCCATTCCCACGCCCGGGCTCACCGGGCTCCAGGTGCAGACCTTGGAGGTGCTGCCTTTCACACAGCACATGGTGGCTAGTGGCCAGGTCCTCCAGCTGGCCAAGGTCCCTCCCGGTTGAGGATTTGACTTTTGGCACATCAACACCCCTAGTGCCCTTGGCAACCCGAGGGGACACTGTCCAGTGTCTCCAGGGGAGATGGCAGGGCTGAGCCTTGGAAGGGTCTCCCCTGCCTCCGGCATCAGCTCAGCTGAGCAAACTGCACCCCTGGATGCCCCCAGCAACTGTCTCTTTTCAAAGAAATAAGCCTCCAGTAAAGTCCTGATGATTTTAACCACCACTGAAATTTTGCAGGTTTGCACCTATCATGCTGCTTACATTTTAGGATTACCAAAGACAGTCCTGTTAAATCCATTTTCTAGGCTTCCGGAATCTAATCTCATGCACCTCAATTATTCTTCTGCCTGCTGTGGCACTGCTTCAGCAGTTTCATGGAGGTACAGCATCTACTGCAATGGCTGCAGTCTGTAAAAATAAAAGATATGAGATGTTTGCCTGAGGAATATATTGGCACAAGATGCTTCTGAACAGGTCACTTAGTTTCTTTCACTATTACTGTGCAAATTTGTGATTTGAACAACAGCCAAATTTATAAGTCTCATCTGACTTTGTGTGGGAGAGACTAATCCAAGCATGGACTGGAGGTGGTGGGGAGCAACCAAGCACACCACTTCTCCGATAAGCAGCATGCCAAGCTCCATGCAGAACTGTTCACTTTTTTGATACATGTAACCTTTGAGAGGACTGCCATCACTGAATCCTGATATAAAGAACAGACATACTTATCAAAATTCATTAGGACTGGTTTTCAGAAGAGAAATGGCACAAGAACAGCAGAAATCCCGGTGATTTGTATTATGTCCAGACAAACCCTATACTTGCTTTGGTTTTGCAAGCAACCCTATACTTCACAAGATACTGCTACCTAAATAAAAGCTGGTAAATTAAATTTGGTCCCACTGTGAATCTCACGCTAGCAACTGCTGGTCTGTAGAGAAGCTGGCACAGAAAGCTGAGATTCCTCCATGAAGCTGAGAAAAATCTAGATGTTCTGGTAAAGTTATTTTTATTTACAGTATTCTTCTTTTTGTACATACCTACAGCAACATCAAAAATTATTCACAAAGCTTAACTGAATGTAAAAATGTTCTCATCCAACAGTTCCTCCTATCAACATCTGTGGAAAATGTCAACTGTTCTCATGCAGCAACAAGATTGTCTGAGCATTGTTTTTTAGTTTTTCTGGTAGAATTTTAGGAAACCACCTCAAACATGTACACAGACACTTACCTTTTTCTGAACACCTTTAGGCACTGGAGTTTTATAGAATCAAACTCAGATTTGCTTGTAGAAACATGAATTGGGGGAAGGACAAGAAGAGGTACGTAAGAATTGAGCTCATGAACGTACATAGCAGGAGTGCAAATTTGGAAGTCAGATGCACGCTGTACAGTTTTGGATTTACAGTATCTGCCTCAGAATTTTTTTGTCAGTTGAAGCAAAAATATATTTGATTGAATTTTATAAATAAGACTTCGCTTCTGAGGTACTGATATTTATCAAGTTCTCACATATTTTTACTTTCCCTTTTGTTCAGCCCCCAAAGTCCATCACAAAAAATTTGCAGAAGGACATTAAAAAACTGTCAGTCACTTACTGCAATGCCTGGGGAAAAAGTGTCAGGTGCTCGCTTTTATTTGTCTTTCAAGAGTGGAAGAGATTACATGAAATGTATATATTCTCCTTTGCAACCAAGTGATAACAGTTATCTGATACATAGCACATTCAAATTCCAGGCCAAACTGTCGTCACATTTTCTGACAGAAGTAGTTACCGTGGAAAAATGTAAGGCTATCACAATTTGACCTTCTGATTAGAAATAAAAGAGTAAGATACTTATCAAAATTGGTTAGCAAAGTTACAGACCTCTCTTCTTGCTGCAGCCTTCCTGAAGTTCAGTGTAACAAAAGAAAGATTTGGTTTAAGACATTGGCTGCAATCTTCTAGTGTGCCTGTTAGTGCTATGTAAATATAGTGTTTGGAGATTCTGCCTATTAAAACTATGGTCTAAACTGAAATCAGAAAGTAGACACGGGAAGAAAGCAAGAACCCTGAACTGCGTGAAAGAGAGCTCCTTGCTGCCCTCATTTGTTTCTATGCCTATTTGGCTGTGAAGCCAATGGGCTCTCTTACTCCAGCCTACCCTTACACAGTCCTCTTCATTTCTACTTGTATTTTTTTTCTCCACACTTACAGGCACAATTTCAGGAACTTCTGGACAACCTAGGCTTCTGAACACAGTACAATCCCATTGCTTGTTATTCAGGTATTCAAATCCATGCAAGTGTGTATATCTGCATATATACACAAAATCCATAGCAACATTACTGAGCTAAAAAAAACCCCAACAAAACCAAAATCCCTGTTTTTCCATCCCCTCCCCAACTTAATGCACCCAGCTGATCTTCCATGGAAGTAATCTGTAAATCACTTAACTATATCTGGAGGTAAAGGATGCAAAACAAGAGCAATCCCTTAATCATTGCTTGCCAGCTCCTTCTGGTCTCTTCAAAGTGTAACTTCTGCAACGTGCTGTTTGCTCTACTGATATTAGTGATCAGCAAATACTTATCACCAGTGAAATAAGCTAATCTTTCAGTGATCACCTGAGTATGTTCTTGACTAAAGCAACAGCTTATGCCTGCTGATATTGCAGCCTCCTGTTCCTTTCCAGAAAAGTCAACAGTCGTGCTAACTCTGAAGTAGGAGGTTTTTCTTCTAAAAATGTAAAGAAACCCAAAATAATCCAGTTGACCCATTCCATGGATTTGAGCATGTCATCAGTACCAGGTGACCTTGTATGGCAGTAAAAAAACCTCTTGGACCTTGTCATTACAGAATGCGCTGCTTATAATTTGGAGTCTACTGTCTCCCTCTATTTTTTCTCTTTAAAAAGGAAGTATAATGTAAGTTAAGCTGAAGTTCAAAATGCATATATTTTACTTAAAAACATTCATCTGTTCAAAATTCAAAATAAACTTTATGGGATACAACAGTTTGTTGTTTTTTTTTTTCTTTTTTTTTAAATAACATTTCATTCAAACTGTATATAATTCATTGAAGTATTCATACAGCAAACAATGGTTAACCCTTGAAAACCTGTAGAAAAAGATTTTCACACAAAAAAAGGAAAAACAAAATTGAGGTATCACTCCCACACACATTCACCCAAGCACACGCACTCAAGCACACCCACACACAGGCTGCAGCAAAAGCAGAAAATTGTAGGCCCAAAAGGAAAATGATGACTGATTGTTCTATCCGAAAGTCCAGGTAGCTCGGGAAAAAAAAAAACAAAAACCAAAACAACCCCCCCAGGAGTCCTCTGAGTAAAGAAACTACCTCAAGAAAATTCTCAAGTGCACTGGAGACCTGATCATTTAAACTGTTTCTGCAAAGCAGCTCCCTGCACCTGAGAAAAATGCAGCCCAAGGTGACTTGTGCAAATATAAGGAGTCAGGAATATCTCCTGCTATTCCTTAAGTAGACATGAGGGGTGTCCATAGATTCAATCAGTCTTTGATCATGCAAGATACTGCTGGAGTGCTGTCTTCGCCCTGCAATAAAGGAACAACCTGTTAATTACTGAGGTTTGGCTTTATCATCAACAGCTACATGTACAAGACTATCCATTGTGCCAGCAAGAGAGGGAGAATGAATGTGTGAGGTAGAAGGCAGCCAAGTGGCTGGCTCCTTCTGTTTGGAACAATCTAGCCCATGGCACAGAAGTGCTCTGTGCAGGCTGTAACAACTTAAGAATCCACTTTGCATCTAATAATAAGATGATTTAACCAGGTATCTTAGATGCCTAGCATAAACTGAGCAACTTCCAAGTATGGTGGAGCTTAAGATGTGTATTGAACCTCATCATCAACACACCTTATAAAAAAACCCTTAAGAGCAATAATTGTGAAGAGCAATTACTTCTCCGCAATACAGATGTACCACAAGAAGCAGGTCTATGAGCTGAGAAATTAAAAGTGGTGTCAGCACTCTGAACATACTAGAAGCACATTAGTCCTGTCAGGAATACTGGCCCTACCAAAAAACATACAGTGAGGCTAGAGCAAGAAAAGAAGCAACAGCCAGGGTAATACTGGAATTTTTGTAATCTAACACTGCAATATTTTTGTTAAGAAAAAAACGCCTCCCCAAAGTCTAAGCTTACATTTTCATCATCACTTCAGCTAATTCAGTGTTTCCTACCACCTGGAGTGACAAGCTTTGCTCTTCCTTTGTCCTCCACACC